GTTCCAATTATTGGTGTAGTAAAACCAGCTACAGCCGCACATGTTTATTACCGAGTTTTATGGCACAATACGTAAAGAATTTGCAAAACAAATTTTTTAAAATCTGGATCGACTCATTCCGCAAACAACGCCCTTCCTCATACTTGTATCTACCTGATTTTCATGAACGCGAAAAAAAATTCCGCTCTTTTAAGGGATATATTTAATAGTTTTCTTGCTTATATCACTGTTCTTTTATAATGTAACACGCACAACCAAGAGGTTTAGATCCGTAGTATAGGAGCCTTCTCAAATATCACGAATCATTGGATTTTGCCCAATTCTGGCTAGTGTTTCCTCTACTAACTGATCTGAAATGAACTCTTCTTTAGTAGACACCTTTTCTGCGCCTTAAGTCAATTCAGTAAGCAAAACTACCAACGTAAAATGTGTGTTAACCTCGCCCCCGTCACATTTCGATCGTGACAATTCAAGAGTTAGGCAATCTATTGTACTTCCCCACCCTCTAGGCTCGCCCCGTTTCTGCTTTCATGTTTTAATGACTTCACACTCACACGTACACACTCGGAGATTAATACTACGGCCACTGCAGGGTATATTGTCGTGAGCGTCGAGCGACGATCACCTCCTGACCTCCTCTCGCGTGATCTGCCCAAAAGTCTTTTTTTCTTGTGCGCGTTTACCTGTAGCCCGTTATTGATTGTTTTAACCTTGTTAACTTTTGCTTGACAATCACTGGGCCACAATAGTGTAGGCATTACCTAGAGTTTAAGTGGATAATAAAGTTAAGTGGAACTTAGAGTGGATAGTTGGTGATTTTTTGATCGAAACATTGTTTTCCCGGAAGAAATTTGAACAAGGCGCAGATTACATGTTGAACGGGATTTAATGACGTCATAAAATTTCGTGACCCCTCAATCAACTGCAGACGGTTGTTGCCTATTCATAAGAGAATTAACTGTCCAATTAACCGTCCTGCTCAACTCGTGATTTTCGCCTTGTTCAGATTTTTTGATAGTTTCTATATCATCATGATGGTGGTCGTAGTTACTTGTCCTAGTGGTGGTTACTTGTCCAGTCATGGAAGTTATGCGAACTGGTAAGGTTGCCGTCGAGACTAGGGGGTTGAGATTAATGTTGGCTAAGTTGTAGTGGATGTCACAGCTAGTCCCCCTGAACCCACTGTAGCCATACCCTGTTATGGTATGTCTGAGGACAATAAAGCCGGACCCCTAGAACCGGTGGTGGGGAGGAGTCGATAGGGGTTCTTTGAGTGGCACCTAGAAAGTAAATCCTCTGGTTTGAACCACTAGAGTTTCATAATGTCTTGACTTAGAAACGTCTCCCAGCGGGAATCGAAATTTGGTTAACATTTCAAGAGATCGGTCACTGACTGTATGGCCAAAGATAATACTGATTTTCTGCAAAATTAAAGCCCTCAAGCTTCCTAGGAAAGGTATTAGTTACCATAGAAAGGACGATCACTGGTGGGTTAGAGGACATGTCTC